ATTATTATATATAAAGGATTATTATATTGACTGATTGTCATTCGCCGCGCAGTTGTTCAGATGATTTGCACAGAGATTTGCAAACAAGGAGTCGCGATTCCTCTGGTCAAGATGCACGGTCGCCTTATCGATTTTGGATCGCTCCACGCGGAATCCTACCAATTAAATTCTCGGCTCTCGACCTTCGCGATCTTCCACGATCGTGCGTGGGATCGTGTGGGGTGGTTTATGTAAGACACTGGTTTGCACGGCGTACCTCCGCGGTCCCGGCAAATTCGCGCGACCTCTTTTGCCGGTTCGATCGTTATTTTGCCCGGAGCAACGCAATTTAGTTCCTCTGGCTATTTTTTTCATGCCACTTTAAATCGTCAGATAATTANAAAAATCTTATAGATGTATTTGAAATATTAAGAAAATAACATTTTTCTAAGTGTTGCCGACAACGATATATCGTTCTTAAGCGCTACAATTTATTATTACATTATATTATTATTATTATTTATTATTACGTTATATATAATTACATTATATTTTTTTTATTATATATATAATAATTATTATTAGCCAATATAATAATCCTTTATATATAATAATAATAATTATTATATTATATATTATTATATATTATATTATATTATTATATTATTATATTATATATTATTATATATATTATATATGTATATTATATATTATATATTATATATTAATTATTATTATATATAAAGGATTATTATATTGACTGATTGTCATTCGCCGCGCAGTTGTTCAGATGATTTGCACAGAGATTTGCAAACAAGGAGTCGCGATTCCTCTGGTCAAGATGCACGGTCGCCTTATCGATTTTGGATCGCTCCACGCGGAATCCTACCAATTAAATTCTCGGCTCTCGACCTTCGCGATCTTCCACGATCGTGCGTGGGATCGTGTGGGGTGGTTTATGTAAGACACTGGTTTGCACGGCGTACCTCCGCGGTCCCGGCAAATTCGCGCGACCTCTTTTGCCGGTTCGATCGTTATTTTGCCCGGAGCAACGCAATTTAGTTCCTCTGGCTATTTTTTTCATGCCACTTTAAATCGTCAGATAATTACTTCCAATTAATGTTTCAACTTAATGACGATACAACTCGATTAATTTTTAAAACGGCTGGACAAACAAGACGTTATCCTGCTCCAAGATCTCTGATTGGTGCAACGCGCGCGTTTTACCACCATTCTGTCTTTTCATTTTCTGGATTGGTTAATTATTGGGTAAATCGATAATTGAATCGTCGGGAAGGCTGTCTTGTCACGTGGAAAGGTTAGACGCAACACGAATTCCACGACCTAATTGCATGTCCGTTTTTCAGTTTTTCTCGCATCGGCCAGGATTCGGGCAGATATAACGAGGAGAACAATTGAAGTTGCAAACTTCAAACGGGTTAATTTTTAAGACTAAAAGAGTTATTCAGATAACTATATTCTGCCGACTCAGATTTATCCAATAGAATTTAAAAGAACGCGAAAATTTCATCCCCTAAATGTGTACGTAGAAAATAATGTTCGGAGAGAAAATCGAGAGAGAGAGAGAGAGAGAGAGAGAGAGAGAGAGAGACAAAATTGATAACGGAATAAAGAAGATAGGCGGAAGGGATTGACTTTCTTGAAATATCGGTTGTTAAACTTGTGGTGGTTACGAACAAATGGCTTCAATTGTTTAACAAAATAGTTTGCCACATAGACCGAAGCATGTTTAGCGTTTTCTCACCGAGATACAAGCATTCATTATGTATTCCATGCAGCACTGTTAAAAAATAGTCTGACAACTACTAATAAGACTTTTAAGTCGTCGTTGGTTGTTAAGCTAATGAATCAAGTTAGTTAAGTTAATTTTCATAAGATCGTCATATGACACTATGTTGATATTATCAATCATCCAATCGGATAGTCCGTTATACCGAAAAAATGAATTTAAATTATACTAAAATGAAATTAAAATACATTTCTGTTTAGTAATTAAAATAATATCAATAAAATAGAAATGTTCACAGCGTTCTTCGAGCGAATTGTTCCGATACAAAGCCGAATGTTTATGTTGCTCGTTCGTTGATCTCGTTTCGGAACGACGCTCTCATTCGGGAGGCGTCTTCCGCGACATGTCGCAGTCGCGTTTCACGCGCTAATTACGCGTCGCTGGTCGGTACTTTGCGTCACCGTCGCCGGTTGCGTGCCGCCGCATCGTAGTTCACTTAATTAATTAGCATCGAACGGGGTTGACACTCTGATAAAGTCCAAAGTTGAGCCGGAGATTAGCGCAGGCTTTTTTCGTCCGCAATCTCGGTCGGTCTACTGCTCGTAGATTTCGCTGTTTAATGCCCTCGCTATTCTTGACGATTTGCTTAATACTAATAATAATAGTAATAATATATTATTAATAATAGTAGTACTAATAATAAAAATTATATATAAAATCTAGGTCTTTGATAAACAATCCAGGTTTTCGAGGAAAACACATCTAGTATTATCGAAGATCCTTTTACGCATAAACGGGTGAGCAAACTTTTGGCGAATCTTGGCAAATCATCTCAGAAATAAATGTTTACGTAGTTCCTGCATCTTGCAATTAATGAAGACAATTTTTATTTTACATAAATATCACAATATTTACTATTATAATATAATATATATTATATTGTAGAATATTTTTTATATTAATTATTATTATTAGAATATTATATTATATTATTATACCAATAGTTACTATTGGTTACTATTAGTTAATATTAGTTGTTATTATTAGGTAATATTAGTTAATATTAATTTATATCAGTTAATATTTGTTAATATTAGTTACTATTAGTAACTATTAGTCAGTGCGTGACGGCATCGCGTTCGAAGACCATGGCGGCCAGCAAAGGACCAAGAAGCGCGGAAAGCTCGGCTTCGTGGAGGGGCACCGTGACACGCTCCTCCCCCTCGTGTCTTGTCGCCCCGATTCGCCGATTTTTACCTGTGCATTTAGTGCGACTCGACACACCGTTCGACCTGGTGCCAGTGCTTCCAGTCTCTCTCGTGTCTCGTTGTTTCCTCGCGAAGTCGCGTCTCCCTTTTTTCCCCTTTCTCGTCCCGCATCTTTCTCGTATTTTTCCCGTTTAGGGAACTTCGATTGCTCCCCGTCGATCGAGACGCTGATCGAAGACAGTGCTGCTGACCCAGATCGATCCCAGCGTTCGAATACTCGCGAGATTCCCGCGGTATCGATCGCGATCCGATCCGAGTGTTCCCCGGAAGTCGAATTCACTGTGACTCGGTCCGACGATTCGTCGATTATCTGTATTCACTGTTATCAGAAGCGTTGAAACGGTATTTAAACAAGTAATAACTGGTTTTCAATCACTTCGAAGTATACAGGTGACGTTGCGATTACCTAATATTGTGTAAATCTTTTTATTTTTTTAATCGACCTGACAACGTTTTGGTCTCGCAACGTTTGACATAATTTTCACCTGTTCCACGTATCACCTTGGTAAAGATGTCCATGTCGTTTTCACATCTCGGCTCAGTTATTTTAATATACACTTACCGACAAAAGTCAAGCAACTTTCCGTATCGTTAACATCTGAGTAAAATTAGATACTTTAACTAATATACGTTTTATTAAATTAAAACTACATATCACAGGTAAGCATACAACACGTTTTTAATATTGTTGCGTATGTTGTTTTATTTAGCGCATACGGCAAATAAAAAAATAACGACAGCTTTGAAAAGTAGAAAGAAAATTGTTTGATATGAAAAATAAAAGAAAAGTATAATGAATTAAGAAATTATAGAAACGTAAAATATGTCTGCCAACACAATATAAATCTTTACCCCGTGTTAAAAAGATTTACTATACCCAAGAATGTGCATCCGTGTAACACGTTTCGTAACTTTTGTCCTCAAGTTTATGCACAATCTTTCCGCGAAGCATCATCTTCGCGATAGTCCATACATTTTCGATTGGATTCTCATCTGACGATTGTGAAGATCACACTTGCAGCAGACTTTTATATTGTACACCCCGTTGAATTCAGAGTAACGCTCTTCTTGAACAAACTGTGTATCGCGAGGGGTGATAGAAAACCTAATCACGAAGCTAATCGCCAAGCTAATCGCGAAGCCGGTCGATCAAATCGGCTCGATCTCCGAATCTTGAATCTGTAGCCCGGCGAACCTCCGAACACCCAAGAAACGGGTGCGGGAGGGTGAAAGGCGGATTCGGTTCCATTCTCGCGTATTCTCGGTCGAAGGGTCGCGTCCATCCGAAAGCAGTTTATCGATCGGATCGTGAAATTATCATGGCATGACCCAGATGGGGTGGGGAACGGCGAACGAGTTTAGCATCGTTTCGGTTCGATCGGCGCGCAACCAACCCGAAAGTCGTGGGGTGTCTGCGGTGGTTGTCGATCCGAGGTCGTCCTCCTCCCGGGTTGTCACATGAACGACAGTGTATCCTGCGTGACGGGTGTCCCCAGAGTCTCCCAGGCGTCTCCATTTCAAAAAGGCATCGTCCGCTGGCCGTGGCAACGCGGCGGAGCGTCTCGCGAAACCGCGACGACGGCGTGAGGACGGGCGCGCGAGCTCGATCGTAGGAAAGGGATCGACAGCTGGAAATACATGGTCGACGTAGGAAACGGAGGGGGAAACGTGTCGGATTATCCGTCGGTGGCCGATCGGACCTAGAAAGCGAGTTCTTCTAAGGTTTCCGCTGGCGCTGGAAGAAGCCACGCCGTGGACTGCGGACCCGCCGGCTCTCTGCGGCCAGAGAGAGAGACGCAAAACGCTTTGTACGTGTCCCGTGCGCTTGCTTCTCGGCCCCGGCGGACAAAACGGGCAATAGGAGAGCGAGAGGGCGCAGGAAGAAGGGGAAAGAAGAGAAGAAGAGAGAAGAACAGAAGAAAGAATCGAAGTGTGTGTCCTCTCCTTTCAACCCCCCGGGGGCTGGCCTAGGTGGTGGTGTCGTCGCGCGAGGCCTCGCGAGGATGGATCGGAAGGAGAACGCAAACGAGGGTGGCAGCTCGCCGGACACGGTGATCGGCCGGTCCTCGTCCGAGGAGGAGCGGAACAAGCACGGAGGCACCACTTCCGGCGAGTACGTGACCGTCGGCGACAGCAGCTCCAGCCTGGACACTGTGACCAGCGGCACAGCGAACCCGCCCGAGGACAAGAAGAGGAGCAGATTCGGCGCCCTGACGAGCAGCTTCCGCAAGGAGGGCGGCCTGTTCAAGATCAAGAAGAAGAGCAGGTCCGGCGAGGACGCCGCCACACCGACGGACCCGGATGCTGAAGAGAAAGGTTCATAGCTCGCGATCGTCCAGTGACTAATCTCATTCGCGCGATCGTTCTCACATTTCGCTCGGCAAATTTCTTCTCTGTCGTGTCCGTCGGAATTAAGGTAGTGGAGCCGGTTACTGTGGGCATAATCAACTTTACATTTATCAAATAAGACGTATTACATTTTTCTGTTCGTAAATAAACGAGATAAGAGAATAGAAAAATTTAATATATCCTATTCGATAAATATAATTATATATAGTTATATTATACACAATTATATATATATTATAATTATATATAATTATAGAAAACAGACGGAACGTACAGAAATTGGTCACACTTGAAATAATTTCGAAAGAACACGATTCAGTCCCGAACAATTAAAATTAACCTTGACATAACCTCGACGGCCAGCCCGTGAAAGCCTCAGATTTGTGATTTTTGTGATCCACCGGTTCATTTGAAGCTCTTCGCGACGGCAACCAGTGTCCAAGCTACTTCCGACGCACCGGTGCGTCGTCCACCACGAATGTGTTCAGAGGGGCCTTCGGTGTTTCGCCGTCCGAATCCGGATTTCATTGTTCCGTTGTTTTGAATGCCGCGACACTTGACCCGTGACCGATCGATCCCTTGCGACCCAGAATCCGTCAAGAGATTCTTCGAGACTCGAGGTCGTCTTAATAGGTCCCGGCTATCTCGATGGTTGCGGGTGCTCGTTAATTGCGATTCGATTCGCGACAGTCGATTGTTCTCCACCTAGCCAATTAAATCGAGTCTCGGTCTTCTTCAAAGTCCCTCGACAGGGTCCAGATCCTCTGAAACTCCACGCGATCCACCCACGAACCCTCCCTTAAGCTGCGGACACTCTAGCAAGCAACTTGCGACATTTTTCCCCGAGGGTAGGCCGTTGCGAGCGAGTTCGAGTCGCTGGCCGCTGTCTCACAGGCGTTTCAACGCGGAGTTGAGCAAAAAGTAATCCGATTAATGATCAACGATTAGAACTCGTTAGTTATTATAACTTTTTTTTATAATAATTGGGCAAAGAGTAATCTCATTAATAATTAACGATTGGTTAACTCGATAGTTATTATAAATTGTTATAAATTAGCTTTAATAACTAACAAATTGTAATCGTGTTAATCATGCATTTCTTGCACGATAGCTTTTTTTCGTCTTTAATTTCTCGATTCTTTCCTACTTATGCTCTTTCCATTTACACTAATCTTATTTGTCTTTGTTTTAACAATCGTACACTGTATTATTCTCTATTATTGTATCCATTTTTCACTTTATCTAATCATCTCGATCGCTCGATTTATCTTCTATTGTTCCTTTTTATCACTTCTCCCTATTCTTTTTTTCTTTTTAACATACCACTTGTGCTACATATTGTCATATTGTTGCCGCATAAGGACTCTCGTCGATCAAATAAACATTATTATCATCATCGATCAGATTACTTTCTGCCATGTTCCGACGTTCGCTTGCTAGCGTATTCGGAGCTCCGGCTCCTGAAACCACGACAGACCCCCCTCCGAGTACCCTAAGCTACCTAAACCCCGTCCGAGAATTCTTGGCCGTCTGACGGGAGATCGTCTGCCGACACAGAGACGGGTCGCAAGAGGAGTCCGGATGCGGAGGAGGACGATCAGAAGGATGTCGGCTCGGCCTCGACCTTGAAGAAGAAGAAGAAGAAGTCGCACTCGCTGGTGCGCAAGCTGAGCCTGAACAAGTTCCGTCTGTCGGCCGCGGAGCAGGAACCGCGGCACACGCCCGAGGGTGGTGACAGCAGCCGATCCCAGAGCCAATCGTCGCAGGAATCGCCTAGCCTCTCGGACAGCCCGTCGAGGATCGGAGCACGGAAGGGGCACGGGATCGAGAGGCTTGGTCACCAGCGCGACAACAACGAGTCAGCGGGGCCACGTGACGACGTCGCCGTCGCCGTCGCCGTCGCAGCCAACGTCACCGTGGAGAAGGGGGACGCCAGGAAACCGGAGAAGCTCGCGGAGAAACCGGTGACCACCGTCACCGTAGTGCAACGCAAGTCGCCGTCGCTGACCATCAGGAGCTTCTCGAAGACTGCGCAGCACGGTGAGCCATCCAGGAGGCGGCCGGTCTCAGCCTCCAGCTTCTTCTTCGAACCTCTCTTCTTCGCTCTCTAATTCATGATCGAGAGACCATTCGGCCTCTTTTAGTCCCTCACCACGTTCCCTCGATCATCCGCTTCTGGCTCGAGTTGACGGTAGCTAGGCCTCTTCGTACTCTCCTCGTTTCCCTCGTTTCCCTCGTTTAGCCTTTCGGTCGCATTTCTTTCTTTGTTTTTGGTAATTATTTATTGTACTTTAGCGGCTTTTCTGACTTCTGACGATTCCATTTTAAAACGCGATTACTTTCTTAAAACTGGACTAAACGGTTTGAACCTTGTGGAGGTTTTACGGGGACTAGTTCGTCGTACAATGGCTAAAATACTTTTTTTCAAATTTTGTATTGAATAAATAATAGTCTCGTTGCTTATTTCTCCTATCCTTTTCGAACCTTCTAATTATCAGACCTTACAGAATTGTTATAATTACCTTCCGGAACTTTAGCAAACTACGTCAAACTGGTTAGGTACACAGTAAATTCTCCCTAATTGACGCTTAGCCTGTACACAAAAACGAACAATTTGTGAAGGGGCGATGTGATTATTCGAACGTTGCGCCTTCTTTTTACAATTATTGACAATCGGTAACTATAAAGACGAGCCGCAAGACTCGAACAATCGTATCTCCTCTTCCCAAATTGTCCATTTTTGTGCACAATCCGAGCGTCAATTAGAGAGACATTATTGTATTTCGCTCAGGTACACGGAGCTCTTTTGGTCGGTGCTAAGAAAATTATCGAAAATTCGAGCCATTTAATGGAGTTTCGAAGAAGTTATTGCATTTTAAAAGGTGTTAATACAGGGATAGTACTTTTCCGACCTCCCTGGATTTAAAGACGCCGACGCAAGCATCGCCCATCCTCTCCCATTAGAGAACCTCTGAAAATTCTACTCGCAGTAGCTTTGCGATGTACAGAAACTTTCGAGAAAAGTTCGTTAGGATGCTTTTAGGATTCGTTAGGTCGTTTGCCTAATCCCTTTTCGTATTTACCGCTGCAACATACGATTCCTGCGGCGACAGAATCGCTTTCCGGTTCCTCGCGTAATCGATCGTTTCGGTTGCCACCAGATCGCTCCACTTCGTTTTAACCATTCTAATCTGTTGGTACCGGCTAGACTAACCATCTTGCACGCTACCGCCGATTCCCGATGAACCCGGCCGTGTTTCGCTTAGATACTCCGGACCGCGAGAAGTCCGACAAGGAGTCCGGACACTGCAGCTCGACGCTGCCCTACGCGATCTCGAAATGGCCGGAGCAGAAGCCCGGTAAATCGGGGGAGAGGAAGTCATTGTTGAGCTCGAAATCGGAATCGGACTCCGGGATCCACACGAAGTCGCCGCCGCACGAGGTCCGCCGCAAGCTCTCGTTGCTCGAGGAGAAACGCGCTATTTTCCAGCGACGGCTGTTCGAGTCCACCCGCGACTCCGAATCTGGTGAAACGGTGATCGCCGTCGACCTGAACGACGAGGAGAAACGGAAGCAGAGCTCGCGCCGCGAGGACACCACGAAGAAAAAGGCCAGACACATCAGCGTGAACAAGTTCGACACGTTCTCGACGTTCGAGGGCACGTTCGACGACGAGACCGGGGTCGGTTACCTGGCCGGCATCGAGGAGGGCTACACCGAGAGCTACAATCGTCAGAACGACCTGTACCCGGTGCATCCGGTGCATCAGATGCATCCGGCAGCCATGGGGCCCATGGCCGACAGCGCGGAGACGAGCAAAGGGATCATCCAGGACAGCACGGTGAGCACCGTCTCGATGACTCGCCTTAGTGCTTTCTGTTCCCACTTCTTTGTAGTTCTTTTAGCGATTTATTCGAATCCCGTCGCGCTGAACCTTCTGCTCGTTCCTCGAGTGTTATGGTTTCCAGTAACTGGGCCGAGTCCGAGCTCCGTTACAGGTGAATTTAGAAAATAAGAATTGTACAGAATAATTTTTCACTATTTAACAAGCTCTATTATCTTATAGTGTAATCTTTTTCATAGATTGTACACTGTTTTCTTTTTTTAAATAGAACCGCATATATTTTTGCAGGTACAGCAATGTCTCCCTAACTGACGCACAGATTGTGCACAAAAATGGACAATTTGGGAGAAGGAGATACGATTATTCGAGCCTCGTTGCTCGTTTTTTATAGTCGTTGACAATTCGTAACTATAAAAACGATCCGTAAGGCTCGAATAATCGTATCCCCTCTTCCCATATTCCATAGTCCATTTTTGTGCACAATCTGAGCGTCAGTTAGGGAGACATTACTGCAAGTCGAGAACGTTGTCGGTGAAACAGAATTAGGGTACAATGCAAAAGAAATCAACGTCTCCCGAGATATTTCAAATTTCATATAATTTTCTACGTCGAACCTTCGCGATTAATTCCTTTGGTACTTTTTTATCAAGAATGTTCCAGAGAATCGATCTACCTGCAAAAAGATATGCAGCTCTATATAAATAAACAAGTTGCGAAAAAAATCGTACCATGAGACAGTACAGTTTGTTAAACAGCGCGAATTCTTTCTGCATAAATTTTGTCTAAATTCGACTGGAACAGACAGCTACAGCTCGGCCCAGCAACTAGAATCACCCTATGTTACATTTCCTTTTCATTTTCTCGAGGGTGAAGGTGTTTCTGCAGCGACCGTATCATTTCCAGGATCGCTGTTCTATTCCCGCTTTTATAATTGATTTCAGCGATCCGTTCGCGTAGCGTTTCGCTAGTTTCTTCGCTTCCCGTTTGACACGCCGATCGGCCTGGGACTTGGGCGCAGTCGGAGTCCCAGGGTGGCTTCGGAATCTCATTAAAGCAACGACCTAGATAAAACACACACATTTTCCGTTAGATCTGTTATGCGTAGCCCCCGTCCCGCAGATCTGTTTCCACCTGGTCACGAGACTCCAGCCAAGTTCACGGCGGAGCTTATCGCGGCCTGCTTGAGTAATGCGTGCATGAAAATTCACTTGAAAAGCGTCATTTCGAGGAGCGGTTTGCGTAACGCGCCTCGCTAATGCATCGTTTACCTCGACAATGGGCGGAGATAAAGATCGAACCTCGACGAGGCTTTAAAAAGACTGCCGACGAGGCTTTGCTATCGAAGCGTGAACGATCAGATCGATCGAAACGTGTGTCGCCATTTCGTTCGATCGCGGAATCGATCGCCACGCAGCACGGGGAGAACTCGACACCCGGCCGCCGATTTTTCTCCGTATCCACTTGCTACTCGATCGGCAGTCTCGTTGCGCAACCGGCAAACCGGCGCGACGCGGCAGTTTTGCCAGTCGGTCGCGGGCTGAATTTCAAAACCGTCGCGGGACGGTTGTAATTCCATGACGCAGAATCGATGGACGCGTCTCTGCGGTCCCGGTTTGCGGTCCTACGACACGCTTCCTTCTCTCTCTTTCTCTCTCGCCCTCTCTTTCTCTCTCTCTCTCTCTCTCTTTTTCTTCCTCCCGCTCTTTCGCTCTGTCCCTCGCGCCTCGAACTTTTTCGCGACGGTCCGGCGACGAGTTTCGTGTTACTGTTTTGCACTACACGCGTGCTCTATCTTCTCCCCTGTCCGCGGAGAAGCTTAATTGGCCGACGTCTCGAGAGGAAAACGCGGCGCGAGCAACGCTCCCCCGGGCTCGAGACATTTATTGTTAGGGGACCCAAGAAGCGAGCTAAGTGCAACGAGCTCGGGTCGTTACAGAACCTGGGAGACGGCGGATCTTCGCCGAGGGTAAACGGCTCGGTAAAACAATAGAACACCCCCCTTTGTCGCGCGAACCAACATTTTAGAGACACGGGTCCGAGAAGACGGGGGGTTATTCTGCACTGCAGTTCGACCATTCATTGTCGCCAGATTCGATCGTTTCGCGGTGTTCGAAATTCTGCTGCGATTGTTTCTCAACGAATGCGGCACGAAAATCGTCGTTGCGTATCACACACATATATCATATTATATTACTTCCTTGTTCTGCTGTTTTTATTATTTATTTATTTACTCGTTCTTTATATATCTTTTAATATATGACTTTTTACTGCACACTATGTATCATCCATTCTTTCACGTTCACGATAATAAACTATTGTTATTATTATTATAAAAACTGTTGTCCAAACAGTTTGCTTCGTTATCGACCGGCACGCGCAATGCGGAAAACTGTTTCCAACAAAATAGCAGAGTATTTTGTAAATTATGACTGCAATTTGCAATGTGGGACAAGCTAATATTTCAGTCGCGACTGAGAATGGCAAAGTACACGCGAATCGAGCGAATTTATATCGTTTCGAAATGCTCGATCACGGCGGATTGAAGATCAATCGATATCGGAGACTTTTATTTATTCGTTTATGTATTTATTTATACATATATGTACGGTTTATAGATCGCTTAGTGTACCAAAACTATTAAAAATTACACAACAATTATGCAAAAATTGTACATTGTACAAAAGGCATAAATTTTACAAATAATTTACATTATACAAAAAATGATACATTACGCAAAAATTATACAGAGCTTCTACAGAACCATCATAGGATCATAATAGTTGTACATTAAATTTCTTCAAGTGTACAAACCAAAAACTCACCGATCCACGCTTATGCACTGTAACGAAAATTCTATTCAAACAATTGAATCGGCCATAGTTCGTTCTACGAAGCTCTCGTCTTCACGAAGAATATTGTCTTAGGGCAGCTCAGGAAGTATTCAAGCTGAAATGGGGTAAGTTGCCTGGACTATACAAACAATCATTTAACGCCATAAACGCAAACAATAATTAATTAAAATACGTAGATTTACGATGCACAATTTACCATTGCTACTTATGATAGAAACAAAACGCTTCGAATCGCGCGTCAGTTTCTCCATTTGTGGCGCGTCACTCGGGCCGATTGTCGCGATTCGTCGGACACAAATCATGCGTACGGTGCCCCAAAGCCGACGATCTCGAGTTGTTTGCTCGTGATTCTGGGTCGGTCCCTCGGACTGAGTCATTTCTGTGGTGCGCGTTATCCGGTTCGGATCCAACGGGCAAGATCGCGCGTCGATCCTCGCACACCGTCCTGAACCATGGAGACCGAGGGAAACTTCTGGAAAAACTTCGAGCTGAACTTCGACAAGCTGATGGTTTACCCGAAAAAGTGGACGCGGTGCAGGGTTCGTTCGCCAGTCATTTTTCTCCCGGAACTTTCACCGGAGGTTCTCCGCTGCTTTCGCCGCGCGCGGGCTATTGTTTTCGATACACGAAGTGCGCGGCTGCATCGAATATCGAAGTCGAGACGGATCCGACGAACTTGCGACGAACTGTCGTCGATAAACTTTCCGACGGAAACGAACGCCGCCGAGGTCGCGGGAACGCGTGTGATCTATAAATCTCCATTTCGGGATTGAATGGATTCGATTGTTCCTCACGGAAATGATGGGTGTCGCGGTGAAACTGCGATTCGAGCAGTGGAAAAATTGCGATTGCATCACCGATAGCGCGAGGGTTCATAATTTTCCGTGATCGATCGGTTTCCCGACGCGACTTTTGTCAACGGTAATAATCGTTATTGTTCTTGTCCGGGGCGCGATAAGATAACGAGCAATTGCCCCGTAGGAGAACGACGAAACGCGGAATCGCCGGCCGATAATTACCGTACACATTTAGAAACCTAGAGCGCATTAATTAGATAAACCGTACGGTAAATACATTTACGGAGACGTTGCACTTTCGATCGTTTATTCCGTGCGAATAGACGATAACGCGAGCCAGGAATAAACGGGGGGAATAGTCAACCGGCGATATCGAGGACTGTTCATGCTATTTCGGGGAAAATTTCATCGAGTCGTTGCAGGCGATTCGTCGTAGTGCTCGATGGATGCTGTTGCCAGAGAAGTAGCGGGCGACTAACGATGTCCTTTTCTCTTGCAGTCGTCGCAGAACAATGCGCCGAATGCCGGAATAGGCGAGAAACGCGAGCACCTGTACAAGATCCTGGTGATCGGCGAGCTCGGCGCCGGGAAGACGTCCATCATCAAGAGATACGTCCACCAGTTCTTCTCGCAGCATTATCGCGCGACGATCGGCGTCGACTTCGCGCTGAAAGTCTTGAACTGGGACCCCCACACGATTATCAGGCTGCAGCTATGGGACATCGCAGGTCAGTCAATGATCCAAGACCCGTGCGAAAACAAGCGCACGCGCGCGCGCGCCCTCGCGATCCCATAAATTCACGCGAGGACGCGTTTCGTTACGTTACGACCGCGGCTCATTCGGCAGAGAGTTTTCTGAAGCTGTGTTTTTCGGTTTTTCAGGTCAAGAGAGGTTCGGCAACATGACCAGAGTGTACTACAAGGAGGCGGTGGGTGCGTTCATAGTGTTCGACGTGACGCGGAGCGCGACCCTCGACGCGGTCGTGAAATGGAAACAGGATCTGGACTCGAAGGTGCAGCTGCCCGATGGTTCCGCGATTCCCTGCGTCCTCCTGGCGAACAAGTGCGACCAGCAAAGGGAGGGTCTGGTCAACTCGCCCCAAAAGATGGAGGAGTACTGCAAGGAGAAGAACTTCGCCGGTTGGTTCGAGACGTCCGCTAAGGAGAACATCAACATCGAGGAAGCGGCGAGATTCCTCGTCAGTAAAGTGAGTAGACCTTTTTAACGTTAAAGTTAGAAACGCGGAGTCGGGCATATTTTATTCGAATAACGAACACTATTTTTTCCGTGGAATTTGTTCGATATATTGTTATAATTTTATTCGTAGAATTTATTCGATATATTTTATTCGAATACAACTTTGTTCATAAAATTTATTCGATATATTATCCGAATAAAATTTTATTAGATTATAATTATATTATATTTAATTATAATTTTACTGAGAATTTATTCGATATAATGCCCAACTCAAAAGAGATTTTCGTCGCTATCTCGTGCAGCTATTTGCATCCTGATCGCGATTAACTGTCCGTCACGTCCCCGGGATTTGTCTGTGACGTTGTTTGCGGCGATCGTCTTAACGACGGAGGTTTCAGTTCGCGGGAGATAATTCCTGACTGTCTCTCCCTGCTGTCGTCACGCAGGTGGCAGAGTCGATTGCCTATTCTTTCGATATCCCTTGTACAGATGAATGATACTACTTTCTTTCTCCGAGCATGTTTATTACGTTACCAGTGTGCCGCTTCTCGCGCTGCCGGATTAATTTACAGGTTAGCCAACCAGGGGCTTCGCGTGCCGGTATGATTTCGATACCCGGTATTATTCGAGCAAAACTATACCGTAACCGATATATAACACCGAAATATCAATACCTATTCTATCGAGATTTAATTTAAATATTAGCAATCGATAGCTCTTAAACACCGGCCGATCCTCGTGGAAGAATTTCGCCGAACACTATACGGCCGATTTAACTCTTTGAATCGTGTCTTTGTCGATGTTAATAATTACAAAGAATTGATCGAGTTCTCTTTTTCGCTTGATTAATTATCTTGTATCATTGCGAGTCATCTCATATTTTAGGATTATGATTACCATAGCAGCAAGAGCTCGCACTCGCGTAAAATTAAGTCAAATTAAATTAAATTAACTCAACTTAAGTTAAATTAAATTAAATTAAATTAAGTTAGATTAAATTAGATTAAATTCCATCGCGGTGTCTCGAACGAGAATCGAATCGAATCGAACGTTTCGTTTCAGATACTGCAGAACGACCAGCTGATGAAGGGGAACGGATCGCAGTTCCAGACCGACGGCGAGCGGTTCGCGTTAAACCAGTCGCCGACGAGTACGAAGAAGTCCTGTTCCTGCTGACGAATCGGCAAGCCACCGATAGCAGCAGGATCCGCACGGTCCGTTATCGTCGTCCCTTCGTCGTCGTATTGCCGTCGGTGCAACGACACACGAGCTCCGTTCCGTTTGGTCCTCGCCTCGGCAACCGGATCCCGCATCGATCCTCGACTCATTTCTCACGCTCGTCTTCCCTTCGAGAACGTTTCTGTTAGCCCTTTGTACATACCCGCTGCACGAAACTCTTGGACGCTGATCCGGACAGCAGAAAGTTAGGTGTACAGATCCGATGTGGCTCTACCGAGCGGGATCGAAGACGAACAGGGGCCAGAGCGACCCTGTCTAGCACTTCGCCGATGGTCCACGGCCAAGATCAGCATGTTTTTACGCCGTAGCTCCTCCCGCGAAGCTGAAACTCGCTCGGTAAGCCTATAGGATCCACGGGGAGGAGCAAATTAGCAAGCTCCGACGCGGCCAGCACCGACGAAAGCCTGGAAGGACGAGAAGATTAGCGATTTTTTCAAGTTTAGAATCATCGAGATTAACGCGCGGCTCTGACAACTTCGATCCTCGATTCCCCTCTGCTCCTTGACACCAGTGTTTCCAGGAAATTGATGGCGCGCGGGGCTCCCTGAACGTTGCAACCCCCGCAATCGTCCATAAGCTCCCTTTTTCCCCGCCGTCCTCCACCCGGAGAGTCTCGGATAGCAGGACACCGAAGTGGCGAGGATGCGTCGTGGCCAGAAAGCTGACCTATGCAACGTCACGTGACGATCCAGTGCTGCTACGTATCCCCTCCATCACTCCAACTTCAGTTTGTCGACGATTACGGGGCACGGGCTAAGTGGAGGGCAAAGAGATTCCCCTTGCGCCATCAATTCTCTGGCAACGCTGCTCGACGCCTTCTCCGACACCTTCGCCGGAAACCATGAGCGGTCCGCTTTGAACATCGGAGCATGAACGCGTTAGGTTCGAGTTCCGGTGTCGGGGTAAACCGACACATTCCCCGCAACATTCCTAGAGCAAAGAAAGACTCTTTTGTACTTCGAGTCCCGACCTGCTGCCATCGCAATTCCATTTCCACGTCGGCTTGGATACTCCAAGCGAGATCGACACCGCGCGGACGATTCCGTGTACAATCCCGGAAGATTTCGACCTTTTTTCTATTGTTCACGCGAGGAAAGTAAACATAGAGATAAGACGGAACGACGAAACGGTAGTTAACAGGTTGTCGACTATCGATCGCGTACGTTACTAATAAATCTAGGTTACGCAACTAAGCTCGAACGAACGGGGAATCCGTCCGTGACGACGGTGTGCAAACCGCGACTCGTCGGCGGCTGTGACGACTCAACGACAGAACCCTTTTGTACTCGACAATCCGGCCAGCCGATCGCCGACGAAACCGCGCATTCCGCTCCTCGGGCGTTAGCAATCGTTTACGTTTATTAAGCTCGCGTATGTTCGCGAACGCTTACAGTTCGCGCTGCCACGTATTCCGTGTCTTCGAAATTGTCTATAGGTATTATACACATATACATATATATATATAATGTAATTATACATAAGAGACATATTATATATATATACATATAATTTATAGTAAATTACTTGAAAGTCAATATATTATTAAATTGCAAAGCTGCGGACGTTCCTTGCCTCGCGGCGATCCCGTCGGTGTCCTGAATTTTTACTGGTTACTTCGAGAGAGAAGATATCCTCGGGGAAAATATCCTTGCGGTCTAACAGCAGCGATGGGTGCGAAAGGGCCTGTTTACAAAACTTTTTAATCGCGCGTCCTCCAGTGAATAATCTCACACGAAATAATCCTTGATTAACCGCGACGTTAGCGTAACATGTCGCATAGTATTCGAAGCATCGAATGGCGAAGTCTCGAAGAGAAGTTGGCGGAACAATGGGCGGAGCTTCGCTGCACGTTCCACGCCTACGCGTGGTATTTTTTAATCGCGCACCCTTCGGGCGATAATTTCGCACGAATAATTCCTTGATGCGCCAAGACGCCTGGCATAACAGGTCGCGTAGCAATAGTGGTGTAGGAATATAGCGGAACTTGGTTTTTTTATTATCATAGTTTATTTAAATATCAAGATGACAGACAAGTGTTGCGTAAATTTGATAATGTCGGTGTAGCGTCAGTAAACAGCTTCCTTGCGGCTTCTGTGCCGAATGATTAGGAAACCGGCGAAATGACTGACGGCGAATATCACCAGCAGGCCGACCAGATCCGTCACGTAGTGGTTCGGTAGGTAACCATACTTCTCGAGGACTTCGAGACCGCTCGATATGCAGGGCTCTTCCGGGTCTGCGGAGCAATCTTCGAGAACACAGAGTCGGCATGAGAAGCAGACTTTTCGGAATTCTTTCCTGTATTCTCGGCGAAAAGAAGCATACCTATATGATGGATCAGCAACCACTGCGTCAAGGAAACCGCTTCTAGACCGTAGTAGAACTGGGACAGGTACTTTAACCACGCGGTTCCTGGCGCCAGGTGTCTGTCGAACAATCGTTGATAGCGATTCGAAATTTAGATGCAATTTAACCAGTCAGCTGCCTTTGACGAGTCATCAAGAAACGACAATATTTTCTGTTATGACTAGGGGTTTTTGAACAATTAGAAAGTACCGTTGCATTAGTTTCACAAGCCACTAATATTATTAAGAAAATAAATAAATGTGCACGCAGCTATTGTGTTGTACAATTAATGTAGACAATTTTTATTTATGCTGTTCGAATTGCAAATATATTCGTAAATTTTCGGACGTGAATATTTGGAGCCCGAGACGAAATAAAACGGACAAATAGAAAAATATAAATAATTATCATGAAGAAACTGTACGTATAGTATATCAGGGATAGCGTACTCGCGATCTGTTACATTTTGCGACACATTTTATGTACACGCTTTTCGAAGATGTCGCAACAGCTAACTGGTTAAGACAGTTTCTACTTACCCGAGATCCAGATAGATCCCGCAGAACATTAGGCCAAGGAAGTCGATCGGCACGGAGAACAAAGAGGCCGTGTCCACCGATTTGAATGACGCCGATATAAGCAGACCTGTTTCATTATGGATCACATTAGATCACCGGTGAATAGAGATAAGAATGTTTTTATGCGATAGATCGCGAAATGGTTACAGAGCAAACGGAGTTGTATGAAGGTTGAACATGGAATCGAAAGCGTGCGGGCCTCGCAAGGCGGTGGCTAGGACAACGCTGACCCAAAGTATTTAAATTTATTCACTTAATTATCGAATTTTCGGCAATTAAAGGAAACACAAATTGCTGTCGCGTTAGGAACGACACAAGAAGGGCTATAACAAGTCTACGAGAAATATCTTCGAATGCATGATTGAAAAAATTGCTGAATGAAGCACAGAATTGTTCTAAACATCGTCAACAATACAGAGTTTAACCGAGGAAGCGTTATAGTAGTTTGCGAGTCCTCACCGAGAGCGGACGCGGAAATGGCGCAGAATACTACTGGCAGTGTGAAGTAGATGAATCCTAAGAATCCACCGTTCAATCCAGTGATATTGTATATCAGAACCGAGTAGAGCAGCGGCTGAAATATCGCTCCGGGCATCTAGAAACGTTAGTGCAAACTGTGTAGCTAAAAAGCTTTCTATTCGAATGCGCTAAAATACTTCGATCTGAACTGGTAGAATTTCGATCGATACGGTTGATGGAATAGCGTTTGGAATCGACTGAGTACAATCGGAACGAGGTCTATGAAATGAGGCGTCGGTAGACTCGGCTTAGCTCATCAATTGGTCGTCTCTCTCTTTCTCTCTCTCTCTCTTGCTCTCTATCTCTCTTTCTTACCAGAACCACCACTTTGCTGATGTAATACGGCGCTGGCCCGTAAAGTCCGCCGGCGATGTCGCGCAGCAGCAGCGGCAACTCTTGCGGGAACGTGTAGAAGACGGCGTAATTAAAGGTGAACACGGTCTCGACGACCACCAGGTACAACAGACCCTGCATGTTCTGTATCCCGCCCTGGTTCATCCGTTTCGCCGTGATGCCAACGTACGGCGACGCGATCACCAGGCCTATGAGCTTCAACCCACACGTTTGTCGGCTTTTCGAAAATTCGTCTTCGAGGTGCAGTAATGTCTCTCTAATCGACGCTCGGATTGTCCAGAAAAATGGACAATTTGGGAAGAGGAGATGCGATCATTCGAGCCTTGCGGTTCGTTTTCATAGTTACGAATTGTCAAGAAATATAAAAACGAGCTGCGAGGCTCGAATAATCGTATCTCCTCTTCCCAAATTATTCATTTTAGTGGATAATCTGAGCGTCAGTAAGGGAGACATTACTGTACAACAATGTCTCTCTAATTAACGCTCAGATTGTCCACAAAAATGGACAATTTGGGAAGAGGAGACGCGATTATTCGAGCCTTGCGGTTCGTTTTCATAGTTACGAATTGTCAAGAAATATAAAAACGAGCTGCGAGGCTCGAATAATCGTATCTCCTCTTCCCAAATTATTCATTTTAGTGGATAATCTGAGCGTCAGTAAGGGAGACATTACTGTACAACAATGTCTCTCTAATTAACGCTCAGATTGTCCACAAAAATGGACAATTTGGGAAGAGGAGACGCGATTATTCGAGCCTTGCGGTTCGTTTTCATAGTTACGAATTGTCAAGAAATATAAAAACGAGCTGCGAGGCTCGAATAATCGTATCTCCTCTTCCCAAATTATTCATTTTAGTGGATAATCTGAGCGTCAGTAAGGGAGACATTACTGTACAACAATGTCTCTCTAATTAACGCTCAGATTGTCCACAAAAATGGACAATTTGGGAAGAGGAGACGCGATTATTCGAGCCTTGCGGTTCGTTTTCATAGTTACGAATTGTCAAGAAATATAAAAACGAGCTGCGAGGCTCGAATAATCGTATCTCCTCTTCCCAAATTATTCATTTTAGTGGATAATCTGAGCGTCAGTAAGGGAGACATTACTGTACAACAATGTCTCTCTAATTAACGCTCAGATTGTCCACAAAAATGGACAATTTGGGAAGAGGAGACGCGATTATTCGAGCCTTGCGGTTCGTTTTCATAGTTACGAATTGTCAAGAAATATAAAAACGAGCTGCGAGGCTCGAATAATCGTATCTCCTCTTCCCAAATTATTCATTTTAGTGGATAATCTGAGCGTCAGTAAGGGAGACATTACTGTACAACAATGTCTCTCTAATTAACGCTCAGATTGTCCACAAAAATGGACAATTTGGGAAGAGGAGACGCGATTATTCGAGCCTTGCGGTTCGTTTTCATAGTTACGAATTGTCAAGAAATATAAAAACGAGCTGCGAGGCTCGAATAATCGTATCTCCTCTTCCCAAATTATTCATTTTAGTGGATAATCTGAGCGTCAGTAAGGGAGACATTACTGTACAACAATGTCTCTCTAATTAACGCTCAGATTGTCCACAAAAATGGACAATTTGGGAAGAGGAGACGCGATTATTCGAGCCTTGCGGTTCGTTTTCATAGTTACGAATTGTCAAGAAATATAAAAACGAGCTGCGAGGCTCGAATAATCGTATCTCCTCTTCCCAAATTATTCATTTTAGTGGATAATCTGAGCGTCAGTAAGGGAGACATTACTGTACAACAATGTCTCTCTAATTAACGCTCAGATTGTCCACAAAAATGGACAATTTGGGAAGAGGAGACGCGATTATTCGAGCCTTGCGGTTCGTTTTCATAGTTACGAATTGTCAAGAAATATAAAAACGAGCTGCGAGGCTCGAATAATCGTATCTCCTCTTCCCAAATTATTCATTTTAGTGGATAATCTGAGCGTCAGTAAGGGAGACATTACTGTACAACAATGTCTCTCTAATTAACGCTCAGATTGTCCACAAAAATGGACAATTTGGGAAGAGGAGACGCGATTATTCGAGCCTTGCGGTTCGTTTTCATAGTTACGAATTGTCAAGAAATATAAAAACGAGCTGCGAGGCTCGAATAATCGTATCTCCTCTTTCCAAATTGTCCATTTTTGTGCGCAAACTGAGCGTCGGTTAAGGAGACATTACTGTACAGTGAAAGCGAGGAGGTCGAAAGGGGATGATCTAAATGGTATCGAGTGTGCTTTTCTTTAATTTTGGCGACAAAGATCTGCTCAAAGTCACCAATGTGGACTAATCAGAAGCCAATCGGTGCAAGCGTATCAATCTTAAAATTCTGATAAATAAGGATCTTGCAAATTGTAAAAAAATGACAATGCCACTGATAATAGAAACCACAATTTTTATTATAATTAAATGAGAACAAATTGAATTAATTCTTAAATCGATTCTTTCATTTTTATTCTTTTCGTATAATCTTTTTAAATTTTGTTTCGTCATTCCGCGCTCGATATAAATGCTGCTATCTATTGTTTATTTACGAAGAAGTCGATTATATTGATTTATCGACCGAAAGATCATCTGTCAAAGATGTGTTTACATCGCGTGACTCATTTTCAAAGAAACGTGATCTTACGCCGATTAGCTTCTGAAACTCTCTGGTATCTCGGAAACAATGAGTCATAAAGAAATAGAATTCTACTAATTCGTCCCTTAAAATGCGAAAAAAGTTTCCTCCAGTGTTTGAGTTGTTCTAGGTAACAATTTGTACACTGCCTCGCTTTCCTGTATACTTTCTGTATCGGATATCTGTGGAGCCTCACCAGGTAGGTGACGAATCGCAGCAGAAGCGTGGTGCTGCTTCTTTTGTAGTCGACGTACGTCCTCCAGGTGAGCCACTCGATCTGCGTGAGAGGCAGAGCCTTTTTGAAAGCGATGGGAGCCGGCGGGACGTCGGAAAATATTAATGGCAGTGGGTTGGCGTCCGGCGTGCCGTTGCACGAATACTCGATCAGCTTCGACACGTTTTCACCGTACTTCGACTTCTCGTACTGGTCGCAGATCCAGTTCACCTGGGGAGGAGCGTACGTACCCTCAGCTCCTTGCATATATACCTCGCTGTTATTTATTATTTACCTTCTGATAGCTCTCGGTCTCTTTTCCCCGGACGATCGACAACTGAGAGACGTAGAACTCTGCGCGGTTGAAGGTCGGCGGACATCTCAGATCCAGGCTGGAAAACGAACACCGTGGTTCTCGGCGATTTCGCCAAATTTAACCCTTTCGAGGCTATCGGGACTTCAGAAATGATTTAAGATGCATCATTTGCTTTGTAATCGGACTCGATCCAGTTTTTATTATATCTTTTTATTGTATATTATAATGTAATATTTTATTATATCTGAATATTTTTTAAAACAGTGTAACTACTTTAAAATCGGATCGAACGAGTTGAATCTCTTTTTGAGGTACTAGAACACGACCGGATTATTAGACAATTTGATGATTTCACGAATTGTCTAGCGAACCAGCTGTTCTATCGTCTCGATAAAATTCAAATCGTTTAGTAAAATTTTAGAAAAGTTATTTGTCCACGTATCGTATCATCATATGTATCTTTTATTTGTACGTAACAAAGGGTCTTTTACCCGTACACACGAATAAAAGCTATTATTATTGAAACCCCACTGTAAAGAGAATATACTGTACATAATTGAATATAATATAATATAATATGAATTAATACGTTATTGCCGAGAAAATGCATCTCGAGAGGGTTAAAGGGCGCAACGCGCGATTTCGAGGTACGTGAATGGCAGCGTCGAACCTGTCGAAGAATTCAGTGGCGTCGACGGACGACCCCTGAAACGCGACCCTTCCGCCGGAAAGCAGAAGCACCTCGTGGAAAATGTCGAGCAGACCTGATGCCGGCTGATGGACCGAGCACATGACGATTTTTCCTCTGGCTGCGACCTCTCTGAGGGTTCTGACGACCGACAGAGCGCCGTAACTGTCCAGTCCTGTGGTGGGCTCGTCGCAGAACAGGATGCTGGGCTCGGTCAGCAGCTAGAAAACATTCGCTACCCTATGACTACTTCATATTAACGCGATTAGGCAGATTCGACTCTCGAGCTTTCGGCGAAACCGTGTTCTCTACTATTCGACGGTTGCTCACTTGAACGGCCAGGGTGACTCTTCTTCTTTCTCCGCCGGACAAAGCAGACAGCCTGCTGCCCGTGCACTTTTCTAGATTCAGCTCTGCCAATACGCCGGCGATCTGCTGCTTTCGGATGTTCGAGCGAACCCTTCTGTCCATTTTCATGCAGGCCTTTCGATAACAGAGAATTTTCATAAAACTAGGGTGCTATCGATCGACTGTATGAACCTTTATGCTAGCAAGCACGCGTACTAAGCTGCCCGTTTACTGTGATTCCTTCAAACGATTCTTCGTGTTCTTATAAATAGACTGCGGATTTTATGCATTTTTATTTATAATTTATCGCATATTTAAGTGCAAATATATATTTAATATACAGGGTTCCCCGGAAAGAATCATCCGATTTCAAAAATTTATATTTTAAAAAATTACGCACAGAAAATTATAATTCAAACACGAATATAACGGGAAAATGTGTGAGTTTTTGTTTACAAGTGTTCAATATGACTTCCTTTCGTTACACGTATGATATCATTGCGATATGGAAGTTCTTGCCAAACACGGTGTAATGTATCTCTGGTAATTGTTTGTACAGCATCACAAATGCGTTTTTTCAGTTCATTTACACTTGTAGGTAAAGGTGGTGCAAAGACAAGATCGTTCACAAATCCCCAAAGGAAGAAGTCGCATGGGGTCAGGTCGGGTGATCTCGGAGGCCAACTGTGTAGAACCATATTATCGGATGAACTGCGACCAATCTAACGGTTTGGTAGTTCCGTGTTAAGAAAATTCCGAACCTCCAAGTGCCAATGGGGTAAAAAGTAAAACTCGCACATTTTCCCGTTATATTCGTGTTTGAATTATAATTTTCTGTGTGTAATTTTTAAAAATA